CACAGCACATTTCCCACAAAACTCGGGGTCACTGGTCCTCTGCTTTGTTCTCTTCCATTTAGGTTAATAACCTACATTTTAAAATGAAAACAAATTGGGACTCAGTCTAAGAGACAGCTGGACCAAGTTTGCTCAACTTGAAGAAGGCTCCAGAAATAGAGATTCATCTCTGTTTTCCTGAGGCAGGTTCATGCTCAGAACTCACAAGAGTTGGCCCCAAGGAGAGAGGTGGCATGAAACATTGGGGTTTGCTAATATACTGTGTATATTATAGGGCAACGGTTGGGTCCTGAGGATGCCTTGCCAGGTCAGATCCTGTAGCTTGGTCCCTAAAGACATACAACACCTGAAATAAGTCCAGCTTGCTGAATGGCTACCATATGCCAGAGCCTGGACTAGACACAGGGCAAAGAGTGACAAACAAGACACAGACTTATAGCCTAATAGGGGAGGCCAATTGTGACAAATAATTGCATGTGTGATGATCCTTCTGCATCTCACTGTGTTTAGAACTTCCAGAAAACACTGGCATTTAGGTCATCCTGGGGCTGATCTCGGGTTCCTCCTGAGATCCTTAAAAGGCTTGCCTTAGTCCAAAGCTTGTTCCTAATGGAGCACAAACATCTGAAACTCAGCATGCATCATGTGGCTGCAGCTGTAGGGTGTCTGGCTTCTGCTGGCCGCCATGGGTTCCCTGACCACATCCCTGGCTAACTGTTCAGTGTCCACTTGTTCTCCATCTTTTAGAAACTCACCGAAGAAAGTGCTCTGAAATCGTTTGATTGGGAGTCCTCCCACTGGGATGCCTGGTTCCGAGGGAGCACTCTGCCAAAGGCACAGATCTCCAAGAGATCTCTAAAATCTCTACTGGTAAATGGCCATCAGTAAGGGGTCACTCGAACACCAAGTTCAGCTGCACAGGATTAGTGTTCAATAAAGCGTGCTGGGAGCCTGATTGAATAGACCACTCGTCAACACTTAACATTAAATGAAAACTCAGGAAGAAAACTCATAAAAAAAAGCCATTCAGGGAAAAATACCCCATTTTCTGGTAGCAAGAGATCTCTGGAGTTTTAGCATTGCTCTTCCAAGCCCTCAGAATATGGCTTCTATGTTTCATGGGGCCGTGTGGGGAGACAGAGCCAAAATGAACACAAGATAGTTGTTAGCAGGGTTAGAATTAGGAATAGTCACATCAAGATTTTATTAGTTTCAGAAAGAGGAATCAAAAGACGTAGGTGAACCAGTGAGTTTCAGGAACCAGTGAGTTCTCCCAGATATTTGAAGAAGGAATATGGGGTGGCTCTTAAGTTTGTCGTATTCTGTTCCAGATCAGCCTTCTCACTAAGACCTCTCTCTCTTTTTTTTTTTTTTGATTGTGCTACGTTGGTGTGATCAAATTGTTCTTTATAATCTGACATACACTTTTGACTCCCTCAAGAGCCAGAAATACTATTCAGTTCTATTCTGGGACCAATATTGTTTCAAAGGAACGAGGCTACAGTTCAGTACTTTTAAGTAAGAGGGCACAATGAAGCAGTCCTAATAAAATATACGAGTAGGGGCGCCTGGGTGGCTCGGTCGTTAAGCGTCTGCCTTCAACTCAGGTCGTGATCCCAGGGTCCTGGGATCGAGCCCAGCATCGGGCTCCCTCCTCTGCAGGAAGCCTGCTTCTCCCTCTCCCACGCCCCCTGCTTGTGTTCCCTCTCTCGCTGTGTCTCTCTCTGTCAAATAAGTAAATAAATAAAATCTTTAAAAAAATAAAATAAATAAAATATACGCGTAAAGATGGTGTTCATCGGCAGAATTCGCCGCCCGTGTGAGCAGAACTCTGGTATCTATGGGACATCCTTGGCCATTTCCTGAAGACCCCCTATCCGCCAGCATCAGAAGCTCAGGTCTGAGCATCCCATAAAAGCCTTCATCAAAAGCTCCATATTTTAACCGAGCTGACAGATTTTGAGAACTTTCAGAAGGAGAGCACATTAAGAAGGCTTCGTTTTTATGGTTAGGCTATTTGTGTAGCTTATCACAAAGCTAAAAGTAGGGCTCTGAGGGAACGATACATAGGGTCTTTGAGAGGATTATCATATTGATCTCTTCCATAACTTCCATAACATTTATTGCCTGTACTAAATATTTAATACCAATAAAAGGACATGGCATGGTGTCAAGGTGAAGTTTGGAGTCTGAACTTAGACTTCATAGGTTTCATATTTTGGGTTTGCCGTTTTCCTGCAGTTATGCATGTGACCTTCAAATGGTATGTGGTATCATTGCGTCTCATTACCTCATATGTACAATGGAAATAATCATAGACTCAACTTTCTAGACAGAGTGTTCTTTGTTATCAGCAATACATAATGTGGAGATCTAAAAGAGTGTATTTGTACCACATATAGAGCCTTGCCTCCCAGCCAGATTGTGAGCTGATTTCAGATAAGCATGCAGGCTTAGTTACCTTTTATTCCACGCTGCTTGGCACAGGATTAGGTACCTGGTAGTAATGCCTGACGTTGCAACAGACTTTAACAGCTTTCTTATGGTGTCTTATCGTACGGGCAGTTTTAAACCTTGTTCAGTCTCTAAACTGTGTTGTAGGCAAGGAGGTACTCTTGTCTCTGACTATGGAGAAAACAAAAGCCTCCAGAATTAAATAACTGGTCTACGGTTATCTGGTTAGAAATAGGCAAAGCCAAACTCTGAACTGTGGTTTTTATTATTTCAAAGACAGCGGCTGCCCTGTGCTTGCTTTGGTTGCTTATAAACTGTGAAGGAGATGGATTACCTCTGGGTGAGTTCTGGGTGCCTGGAGAGGCTCCTCAAGGGCACAAGGACATCCCGCCCATCTACAGTGTTCTAGACTCAGCCCTACCACTCCACTCAGTCGGCTTCAGGCACAATGCCTCTTGGCACACTACTGTGGCCGAAGGCTAGGTCGCAGAGAGAGACTGAGAGCAAGAGCAGAGGCAGGTCCAAACTGGTCTTTGTTGAGCCCTGCAGACGCGCAGGGCTGAGGTCAGTGCCCAAGGACAAGGAGAGGAAGGATGGTCGCCGCTGTTCTGACTGTGCAGCCCGGCACATCAGGCCCCTGCATGCAACAGACGGGCTCTCATTCCTTGCTCGCAGGACCATGCCACAGGGGTGAGGGTGTGTTTCCGAAGCTCTCCACAGGACACAAGGAGAAAACTGTGGGGACGCAGCCTGGGGGCGGCTCACTAGAAAAACGTGAGCAGGCATCCCCATGGTGATTTCTATTAATATGCAACAGGTTCACTCTCTGAGAGAAGTGAAAGATGTAGGGAGTGGTTGGCTACTGTCCTGATATGTCTGAGGAAAACATTATTTGCAAAGCCCGAGTCTCCTCCCGGTCGTCAGTAATTTCATAAGACAAAAGCTTGAATTGTGCATAGAGCCAACTTTAAAAATGTCAGTTCCGAATGGATAACTCGCTCTGTCAGTCCTTGAGGAAGAAATCTGTGTTACTGTTCCCTCACTGCCCTGCCTCTGCGTATGTGTGTGTGTGTGTGTGTGAGCATGTGTCCAAAATGCTGTGGGATGATTATATGACTCCTTTGCGCAAAGGTCTTTTTTCCACAGTCCCTCTTTTGTCTCTCAAGGCCTCACTGTCTACATATTGTCCCTTCGTGGATGGAGGGTCAGCCGCTGCAGATAAGGTCCACCCAGAATCAAAGCCTTTAGTACATCACACATGCCATGTCCAAAAGACATCATCAGTCAAGGCCCTGAGAAGGAATGACCCAGAATGAATAACAGGGGGTGGCTCTGCAACCTGGAGCCTCAAGAAGAAGAGGAGCTTATGTGTCTGTAGCCATTCAGAGATTGAAGCTCTACCAGAAGCCAGAGGTAATCCGTCTCCCTCACAGTTTATAAAATTATTTTGTGGCATAGAACAGGGAACCAGAGGTGGTAGAACCCATTCAAAGATACCCAGATTTTGATATCTCTGGTGGTCTACACACATAAGAAATAGCAACTTAAAAGTCTCTTCCTAATTGGTGCTTCTGAAAATATTCTTGACTTTGATAACCTTTCCACGGTTGAACCGGAGTCGGTCAAACAAGTCATTTCCTAATTCAAGGCCAGGGCTGACTTCGGGGCTGTGCAGCCTAGGCAGTAGCCCTGAGCCCATGATCCAAAGGGTCCCTCGTGGTCGCTGTCTTGAAATTCTTAAGAATGCTTTCTTTGGGCTTGTGTTTTATAAGGGAAAGAGGATAGGACAATGGAGCATGTGTGTGAACAGAGAAGTTCCATGCCATATGCAAGTGCAATGCTGTTCCTTGCGGCCTGATTTACAAATGGCATTTACAAACAGCCAAGCATTCTGGTGGACCCATGAGGTGTGGCAGTTCAGTGACTCCAAGCAAGTACAGCATGTTGGGTCTGTGACCGGGTAAGAGGGGTCATTGACAACCCCTCTGGGCCACGCTTTCTGTTTAAACCAGAACGTGCTTCAGCCGCAGAGGAAGACAGTGGCCGTCTAATGAACACTGACGAGCAAGGAGCCCTGTCCCACCATTTTTTTTTTTACTTGTGTTACTTTCTTGAACCGGCCAATGATACTGAAAATGATGACATAGAAAGAAAGGAAAAGATACGGCATTGGTTTCTTTTCCTTTCAGCCTTTCCTTACTCTTCAGTAAAATGAAAATAGAGTCGGTGGAACGTGTGCTATGAAAAGCTGAGTTCGTTTTGTGCACTACACGTATGAGCTTCGAAATATGGCTTGTGTCATTCCGAGGGTGCTATATATGAGTTGAATGCTCCTCTATTTGCATTTAACGCTGGTATTGCACCACATAAAGATGAATGGCAAGTTTCATGTTAATCATTTAAAATGTTGATTTTTCTTGATTTAGAATGACATTAAATAGCAAATAAAAAAGCCCAAATACCATGATAAATCAAAAGGAGACCTCAGAAGAAAGGAAAAAGCTTTATATTTTAATAGCTTTAAAGGCATTTTTTTCTCCTTTTATTTTTTTACGGAACACCTCACAAACTTGTGTGTCATAGTGGTGCAGGGGCCGTGCTAATCTTCTCTGTATCGTCCCAATGTTAGTAGGTATATGTGCTGCCTAAGTGAGCACCCTCCTTTTTAGACAAGAAGCCCCACATTTTCATTCTGTAACGGACCCTGCAAATGATATAGCTGACCCTGCTCAAGGCCTCATAAGTGCACAGGTCTGTCATGCAAAAAAAAAGAGCCTGCTGTCAATGTCCCCTTCAGGTGACAATGTCAGGAAGGAACAGCGCTCAAAAGCTCAGCCTTCAAAGGGCAAGTGGCTGAAGCCACAAGGTGCACAGATGATAATTGCTCTGCAAGGTTGCTTCTCAGCAGGGGAGGCTTCTGGCCCTGGCCTGGAGCTTCACGGGCTCCTAGCCCCACCCCCCGCCCCGCCCCGCCCCGCCCCTGCCCCGCCCAGATGGCGTCACTGCAGAATGAACAAACCCTAAATAAAGCAAAAAAGCAGGTTTGAAAGCAATTATGAGTGAAGGGAGTGGCATTATTTCCTTTTCGAATAAATATGCAATAAAATCACCAAATATGGGTGTATCTATTCAAAGAATATCACTTTAAGATTCTGGTGATCCCTTTGCCCCTAGTTAAAAATATAGTAAAACAGAAAGGTCTGCCCTGGAGACTCAAAAGCCATGTAAAACCACACAGGACCAGTGATCGGTATGTTTCACGTGGACAGGGGGGTGAGAGGGGTTGGCAAAGGCCAGGCACAGACCGCTTTTGAAGATGGTATAGAGATGAGTGAGGCATCTGTTCTCAAAGTGGAGACCTTTAACCAAAAGGGGCATGCCTGTCTCATCGATTATCACTGCGCAGCTGCGAGAATGTCACAAAAGTCCAGATACAGTTAAACTCACAATTGGGGTTAAAGCAGGCTTTACAATGAAAGGGGATTCAAAAAATTTTCCCCCCAATTTCATGAAATATCAGTCTGTATAATTTGGAAGGGAGGAAACAGAAAGCGCTTACTGATTTCACCTGGCAATCGTACATCTGCGCGCATGGTGGACGGGGCAGAGACTCCCGAGGACTGTCTATGCAAAGTCGGAGAAAGGAAGAAACACTTCTTGAGTTAAATCACGTGTGTTTTTCTTTTTTGCTAAAAGTGAGGACTAAGATGAGCCCCTCTAAGATTAAACCCGATGCTATCTTTACATCCCATTTCATTTTAAACCCCTCTTGCTGGGCAGCTTCTCCACGTGCAGAGCCCGTTCACCACGGAGATGAACGTGTCTGGCTTATTGTTCATAAAGCCCAGGCTAGTTGAAAACTATTTTGGGTTTCTCACTCAAATCAGATTTCAACTTTGATTTTTCAAAAGGTTAATAGGTTAGTCCAGCGGTCTGTTGTGTCAACAGGGCCCTAGAAAAAAATAATCATGAAAGCAATATCAAAAGGTCAAAAGGAAGAAATTGAAAATGCTGTAATAAAGAAATGATGGAAGCCTGTTCTGTGTGCATTTTAATTCAAACGCAGAAGCCTGACAAAGAAAATAAGATGATGTTGCTCAGCGTGGTTGCTGGGAGGGAAAAGTGACATGACACTAGCCCGGAGCGAGATGAATTTCAACAGCTCATGGTGGCCTAATGTTCCCTAAAGAGTCTAGTGAGACAGGAGAAATATGAACGGAGGTAGGAAGGGAATGGAATCTCTGGCAACGAATTATTTTTTTTAGTGTGGGGTGAAGTTAATGCAATCACCATTGGCTGCTATAGAACACGCAAACAAACAACAAGAATTTGAATCTCTAAACTTCCTTTAGGGTGTAAGTGGGATTAGTGTTCCATACACAGGGCAAAGGGGAAAAGGTGGGGACTACAGAAGGTAAAGCAGTGCTGGGACCAATTTCTGCTACTTGCTTCACACTGACCGTCTTGCGCTGGTTGTTAGTAGTGCAACTGGGACTCACAAAAGCCACACGTTGTGTTGTGGGGGCCTCGGGGAAGGACAGAGCGTGAGGGGAGTTCTATATGCTGAGTCTCTGGGTGTGTGTGCACAGGTGGGTGGGTGGGGCGTTCCTTCTTAGATGTAAAGACAAAGATCGTGTTTGTGCGCTATGCTGGTATCCTTAAGTTTCCTCTTCTTGGCAAGAGACTTGGCACTGGCCCCTGAATCTACTTATCTTTCATAAAACAAGAAGATAGCTTAAGGAACCACATGATTCTGCCCCAACGTTCTTTCCATCCTTTCAAAGGTCCAAGGAACAAAACGAGGAACTAAAATCTTAACCACTGATGGAAACGCCAGAAGATGAAAAGCTGAACAAATAACCAACATATAATATATACTATATACGAGGATATCTAAATAATATAAGCATATGAAAGATTAAATCTCTAAACTGAAAACAGTAAGTTGGTTCCTTTCTCCCAACAGTTTCCTGGGACATCCCTTTTACGTAGTAGAAACTTACTGATAAGGATTTGAACTAAATGCCTGCCCAACAGAAAAACTAGTGGATAATAAGGTGCTAAACACATTTAAAATAACTTTTATTATGCTTTACGCTTCCCTACTCAACCATTCTTAATGGCTCCCCAATGCCTGTGTAGTTAGATATATAGGTATAAATACATGCAGTAAAATTCACAGATTTTAAGTATACAGTTCAATGAGTTTGAGCAAACATATTTAGCTCAGTAACCAACACCCAAGTCAAGATACAGGACATTTACATCAACCTAGAAGGTTTTCGATTGTCCATTCTGGCCAACGCTTCTCCCCTCCCAGAAGCAAACACTATTCTAACTCTTATCCTCATAGATTTTTTTTTTTTTTTTCTGCTTGATCTCAGTGGAATCACAATGGTATCATACAAAGTGAGTCTCTTTGTTTCTGGCTTCTTTTGCTCGATATAATTTTTTTTTTTTTTTTGTTTTTAAAGATTATTTATTTGAGAGAGAGAGAGAGAACATGAGGGGGGGGGAGGATGGAAGAGGAGCAGAGAGAGAGAGAGAGGGAGAAGCAGACTCCCCGCTGAGCAGGGAACCCCACACAGGGCTCGATCCCAGGACCCCTAGATCATGACCTGAGCCAAAGGCAGACACCTAACTGGCGGAGCCACCCAGGCGCCCCTCAACGCAGTGTTTCTGAGATTCTTCCATGGCTGCCATCAACATTCTTTAAAATTTTTGAAATATTTACTTCAAAAATGTATAGTCAAACTCGAGAAATGAAATTTATCCTAATCGTTTTCAACTTTGTATGGTGAACCTGGAGAGCTTTTAAAAAAATACCAATAGTCATGCCCACCTTCAGAGTGTCTGATTTAATTGGTCTGGGGTAGGAGGAAAGCATTTCTGAATGCTGGCATTCTAGTATTTCTGAAAGCTCCCCCCTCGATTCTGATATTCTGCCATAGTTGAGAATCCCTGGACTCAGAAATGATGGAATTCCACCTCAAGTTCATGCAGATCTTCCCCTATCCCCCTTTTCCATCTCAGAGGAATGGGTGGCCTTTCTCCTTTCTATCTGTGCTCCTGACTTAATAATAGCTACTATTTTATGAAAGCTTACGCTGTGCTAATGACTTCTATCTATTATCTCATTTAGGTCTTACAACAATCATGTTATTCCAGTTTGGCAAAATGAACAAAATGAGGTTTAAAGAGAGAAGTTATGCAGCTTGTAAGGGTAGGAGCCAGGATTCAAACACATTTATTATTTGCTGAGAAATACCTCCCCATCGTGATTATATCTCCTATCCGTTAATTATCTTTCTCCAAACTTTTCTTCTCCTTTGGCTTTTTAAATTTTCCTCAGTCTACACTAATGCTGAGGTTACCTTTAGCCTAAAGAAAGAATAAGTAAAGACTTCTCCTTTAAACATGTCAGTCTTCAAACTCCACTTTTATTTCTCTCCTCCTGTTCTACTCTTCTGCGCATTGCACAAACTAGGGGCACCCCCTGGCATGTGACTACAGTGGTTCTCCGGTCCCCGGTGAGTTCCTCATCGCCCCATTCGATCTTTCCGCTTAGTTTGCATTCTGTTCAATTCTTGGCCACTCTCTCCCTCTGTTGTTTTCATATGCTCAACTGATTGACCGGACACCAGTGGGAAACTGTTTGGTCTCAACTTGTAACTAGAAACCTAAAGAACTTAGTGTTGATCAAGGTCAAATGAGGAATCAGATTCATGGTTATAGTAATAACCAAAACAATAGGCAATTGTTATTGCTTGCTATGTATCTATGTAACATGCTGTTTAAGATCCAAGGAGGAGACTATAAAGTCCCCTCCAACAACATGGAGACAATCCTGTTGACTTAGGCAAGACTCAAGTTAATAAAACAATTACAGTTTATTAAACTTAGTAAACAATTTAAAAATGAATTTAAAAATGAATAAATGCTGGATAATATGGTACAGACTACAAGTACAGCAAGTATCCAGAAAAAAAAAAAAAGTACTTCTGGGCAAAGAGACTCATAAAGTAGTTAGTGTTTTATTAGGCCTTGTCTTATCTCTAAGTCTTGTAATGTCTTTCTGGGTCATAGAGGAGTTAGTATGGTCAGAAAGATGGGATACGGGGCTCAGGAGAGGCAAAGGGCTCAATTCTTGATGATGCCGTTGCTTCTTCTCTGACTTTTCTATACCACCTTTTCTTTGTCTCTAATCTCCATTTCTCCCTGCTTCCACTGGTCACCATACCTCACATTAAAACTCCTGCTGAACAGAGTGGCAATCCTACCCTTCTCTCTGGCTCAACAGTAGAGCTGTACTAACTGCCTGACTCTTTATCCACCCAGAACACTCTGTTATGCAGCTACTCATCTTCCAGATTTTACTGGGATTGGATCTAAAGATAGTCAATCTAATCGATCTCTTTCCCAACAGTCACATATTTCCCAGAAAAGCCTCTTTTTCAAAGAAGTGTTTACAACAAAACATCATTTGAAAACATGTAAAAATCATCAAACGATGTTCACACAGAAGCACAGCAGATGACTCATGTTGGCATAGCAATAACATACCTACTTTTCTAAGAAACAAAGCTCTGAGCTTTTCCTAGGTTTTCACGACTAAAATCCGTTTAATCTGGAACTAGCCATAGAAAGTG